CTCCTGCCAGGAGCGTGTGCGTGCATGCCCTAGATCCCAAGAGAATGGAGGAGAAAGGATTGTGGCATGGCTATCCCCCCTGGGGGGTGATTTCTTGCTTTCTGTCTCTCTGTCTCTCTCTGTCTGTCTGGCGAGTGCACGTGCCCTATAGCAAAAAAAAAAAACTCTCAAAAAAAAAATCAGATGGACCTATTAGAGATGAAGGCTATAATACAGGAAGTCAAAATCTCCCTTGAAAGTATTAAAAGCAGACTAGATCATAAAGAAAATAGAATCTCAGACATAGAAGAGAAAATTTCTGGCCTAGAAAAATCCACCACGAAGATTGAGAAAATTGCCTAAAATAATGAGAATAATATATGAGGAATACTAGATGCCATCAAGTATCCAAATATCTGGATAATTGGTATCCCAGAAGGCCAAGAGACTCATAAGGGCATTGATAATCTATTCCATGAAATACTGCAAGAAAACTTTCCAAACCTAGAGAGGCACTCAGAGATCCAGTCCCAAGAAATACAGAGGACCCCAAGTAGAATCAACCCAAGAAGATCTTCTCTAAGACACATTATAGCCAGATTGACCAAAACCACAGAAAAGGCAAGATACTAAGACTGGCTAGAGAAAAACGGCAAGTTACCTACAAAGGATAGCCCATCTGGCTAAGAGCAGACCTTTCATCAGAAACAATGTGAGCAAGGGACCAGCAGTTAGCGTAATGGCTATGTCGCTGGACTCCCATGTAGTCGACCGCGGTTCGAGTCCTGGACCTGGTGGCTTAAACTCACATGAGGTGCGTGTGTGTGCATGCCCAAGATTACCGAGAGGAGTGGAGAAGGGATTGCGGTGTGGCCATCCCCCCCCCAGGAGGTGATTTCTCAATTTCTGTCTGTCTGGTGAGCGCATGTGCCCTGTAGCAAAAACCTCTCCAGAAAAACAAAAGTAAAACAAAAAGAAAAACAAGAGAAGAAACAATGTGAGCGAGGAAATGTTAAGGGAAAAGCAATTTCAACCAAGAATACTGTACCCAGCAAGATTATCATTCATTTGGGAAGAAAAGACACAAACATTCTCAGATAAACAAAACCTGAAAGAATTCACCAGCACCAGACCAGATCTCCAAGAAGATCTTAAGGGAGTGCTATGTCAGTAAAATTAAATGCAGACTCACACAAATAAGAGTTCAAAACTAAGAAAATTGGCACCTGAATTGTAGAGACAAAGTCTGGAGTTGAGTATTACATCCCAGATTTCAATCTGGAAGATCAAACCTCAAAAGAAACAGAAGAAAGAGTAAGTACATGAGTCTGAACTGTTGAAACAGTATTCTGTGACTTGACTAAAATATTGCTGCTTTTCTTCTAAGCTTTGTTGTCCAGTTTTAAGGATTTTTGTCCTGTCTTGAGCTGTCAATAGATTCATGTACCTACTATTTGAACAGAATCCTAAACTGCTCCTTGTCTTTAAGTTTTAAGCAAAGTTCCTTAGCATGCCTTTGATTTTATTAAGGTTAAAACTGCTTTTCTTGAAATTACCAGCTGAACTTGCTATTGAAAGTAGTTAGATTGTTGAAGAAATTGTGAAAGGAATGGAAGATAACTGTAGACTCCAGAAATAAGTGTGAAAAGAGGGTGGGAAAGTCAGTGTCAGAAATAGGGATATATATATATATATATATATAAATGAAAAATTATTGACGATTACATGCATGATTAAGCCACTATGCAGTATATTTTGGATGGGAAATCATATTTTGAATGCTTTGACGATGCTTAGGGAATGAATACAAATTAATTAATTTTAAAAAGTTTCAGAAAAAAAAGGTTTTTCTTGAAATTAAAAAAATATATATTAAAAATAGCTATTGGATGACTGCAGTAATCTATATATCCCCAGCTAGGTGCTACTTTATAGTATGTTCATTCTACTCACTGAGGTTTATGCCTAAAGTCAAACTTGTGTTCATAGATATGTATAATCAACTGTACTTACTATTGAAAATCTTTAGATTAATCAAGATCTTTAGTGAATCAATAAAATGTGGGGAAAAGACATAGAAAGCAACCATGGATACCAGAGACAGTGTGGAAGGCAGGTGGGAGATGGCAGAGGGTGAGAAATAGGGAATCAAGGATGGGGAAAAAAGCAAAATATACAGGAAAGAAAAAATGGAAAATTATTTGTTGATGATAACACGTATGTTGATGTGCTTGACTGAGCCACTATGGAAAAATTCATTTTGTATGCTCTAATGATGTATAGTAAATAAATATAAATAAATAAAGAGCACTGACAAAGAAAACTAAAAAATATTTTTTTTAATTAAAAAGAAATCATAGGGGATGGCTACGGCACAGTCCTTTCTCCATTTTCCTCTTTGGATTTTGGGCCTGCATGCACACATGCCTGGTATCAGTTTCAAGCCACTGAGTCCGGGACTCAAACTGCAGTCAGTTGTGTGGGAGTCCAGTGACGTAACCATTACGCTGTTTGCTGGTGTCAGCTTTCATTTTCTTTGATAGAGTGTGTTATAAAGTAGTTTCTTATATTTGTCAGCTAGATCCGCCTTTTTTTTTTTTTTTTTGAGAGGTTTCTGCTATAGGGCGCATGCGCTCGCCAGACAGACAGAGAGAGACAGAGAGACAGAAAGTGAGAAATCACCCCCCAGGGGGGATGGTTATGCCGCAATCCCTTCTCCTCCATTCTCCTTTCGGGATCTTGGGCACGCACACACACGCGCCCGGCGTGAGTTTTAAGCCACTGGGTCCAGGACACGAACCGTGGTTGACTACGTGGGAGTCCAGCGACATAGCCATTATGCTAACTGCTTGTTCCCATAGATCCACTTATTTTGACCTGTAGGTGTAGAGTGAGTGAGAGAAAGAAGTTGGAAAAAATATATATAAAAGGGTTAGAAAGCAGCTGTGAATACTTATGTGGAGGGAGAAGCTTCTCTGGAGCAGTTCACATCCCCAGCCTCAAGTGGGACATCTCATCCTTCAAGTGCATGTGAACATCCAGGAAGAGTGACAGTGGGCTGCCTGTACATATGGAGGTGGACACATCAGGCATTTGTAACTCTTAGACTGGGTATTTCTTAGAGTCAGAGGTATACGTGGTTGGTTTTATCTTATTGAGCACTTTTTTTTTGTTGTTGGTTTGGCTATCGAGTGTGTGCACTTGTGGGGATTGGGAAGGGTGTGGAAAATAAGTGAGAAATAACCCCTCCATGGGTGATGACCATGCTGCAGTCTCTTCTCCATTCTCTCAAGATTTTAGACTTGCACACATATGTGACTGATGTGTTTTCAAGCTGCCAAGTCTGGGACTTGAATTACGCAGTTGGCCGTGTGGGATCCAGCCACCTGAATCTCTATACCATCTGCTGGCCCCAGTGTATTGAGTACTTTACTCATCTGTTAAGCAAATATATCAAATATATATATATATATATATATATATATATATATATATATATATACACACACACAAACACACA